AGAGAGAGAGAGAGAGAGAGAGAGAGAGAGAGCTATAATAGACATACGTCAGGTCTTTAAAAAAAAAAAAAGCTGACGCTGATAATGATAATATAAAAAAACCGTGAATACAATCGTTGATGGTTGTTTAGGCCTATCGTTTCAATGATTACAAGTAACCGATACGCTCAAAGTATCTGGTATCGCAATCAGAGCTGAGAAATTCATTTGCGATTCCTTTTCCGGAAGTAACACAGAAGAAGAATCGAAAGAAGGACCACGTTGTGTGTTGTAGTGTGGTGACAGTGACTAAAAAGCTCTCCCACACATTCTGTTTTATTGGAAGAAAGGGCGACCTGTTTTAAGTTCTTTATTGCCACAATGAGTCCTGGAAGTGAGTATTCAAAATATTTGATATTATTTCGAATCTAGAGTCTACTACTGTTGTAAATTTGCAAGTTTTGAATGAGCTTCTTTCTTTTCCAACACTGGCGCAGTAGTAGTAGTGCGAGTCTCGTGCCAGCGCCAGGAGCTTGTTTAAGACTTAAGAATTGTTGGTATAATTGGCCTTTTTTTAGTTGGTACCCTGGTACCCACGTTTTTATTAACTTTGTAAAAAGTTATGGATTTTGTTTGGTCATTTGGAATAAAAATTCAGTCTTTGAATTGGAAGTGGCTATCCTCACTACCCTGGCCGCCCTGCGTTGGCTATTCTCACCAGCCCAGGTGTGAAACAAGGGAAGGACTTCCGTAACGAGCGACCGCCCCCATCAAACACAATAAAGAAGAGGCCTAACCCTAAACCTAACCCTACCCCTACCCCTACCCCTAGAGATCTAGAATCTAAATTCTAGATCTAGATCTAGATCTAGAATCTAGATCTATTCTATACCCCTACCCCTAGCGCCCTAGCCCTCAATTCTGCTGTCTCAAACTCATAGTGGTCGCTCGTTACGGAAGTCCTCCCGAAACAAGACCTGTTTTTCCTAATTTTGAAATACTGTCTATCGGTGTGGATGATCAAATTGACAAAATAAAAAAAAAGGCCGCTCTTATTGGCCCACATGGGCAAATAAGCTGGGACTTATTTATTGGCCCACGTGGGCCATTTAATGCGTTGTTTTTCAATGTATTTCATAGGCGCTAGCGTCAATTGCCACCGAGTGACGCGGTGGCAATTGACAAAAAGTCATGCCACTGAGTGAAACGGTGTCGAGTCTGAAAACAACACTATCTTTAGCATTAATATACATAACACAGTGGCTATTTTTACG